AACTTTTTGCGGAAAAACGGCAATACACCTTGACGATAACCGGAGCGCGGATACTCATCCTAAGTTACCTTTATGCCATTCTCAGAGTCCGCTGCGAAAGGTCCCCCCTTAATTTTTACAAAGGATTTTCTTACATTTTTCTCGTAAATTCACGAAAACTTTTTACAGTGTGTATGTTTGTTGTTGTGCAAATGTTCGCGCTAACTTAAATTTACGATTCGTTTTGTGCAGATTTGTGCGCCAAAATGTATGATTTATAAAGAAACGCAGAAATGTGGGCAAAAAATTTGATTGCTTTAATCTGTGCGAATAAAAGATCCAAAGCCAGTTAGTATGCACTTACTGCACCTGGTGAACCGACTGGAAGCTGAGTACTTACAGGACCTGCCTGTTCAATAGTGCACTTGGGTGAACCGAAAAAAAAAAAGCTATTTCGAGGAAAGTTGACTGAGCACACATAAAAAAACCTTGGATTATTCGGTACTCTCTTCGGCATGCATGCGTTCTTTGTTCATAAGAATGACATCCCTTAGCGTATACACGCAAAATAACCCGTTTGCTAAAATACCAAAAGTCGGGTCTTTGCGTTTCGCTGTTGTAACAAACATATTTTCGTTTTTGCTGTTTTAGCAAACGTTTTGGCTATTTTAGCAAAATGTTTGCTGCAACAGCAAAAACTTTTGACAAAACAGCGAAAACATAAAATGTTTGCTACAACAGCATACCACGAAGACCTGACTTTTGCTATTGCAGCAAACGGGCTTTCTTTGCTTGCACTAATATGTAGAAAGACGGGGGAAAGAAGGCGTTTCGCACCGCAAAACCTTCGCCGGAAGTCGGAAGCCACCTCGAGATAAAGAAGGCCTCCGGAGGAAATATATTTAGATGCGGAAGTTTTGTGGTTAGGGTGAGAGGGGGCCGTAGGGGCCGCAAGAGTCGCAACTTTTAACCACCGTCGAGGGCGATGGACCGGAGTTGGCCCCGCATGTTGTGAGAGAGTAATTCTCTCTGTTTTGAAGTTGTGTTACCCCCTCGGGCTGCAGGCGGGAAGAGTTGGTGGGGGATTGGGGGTCCTGGGTGGAGGTGGAGGTGCCATCCCATGTACGGGACAAAAGCGGAGCATTCTAAAGGGACTTTTTAAAGGGCAGATGTGTCCTTGACTGGACACATTTTACGCACATCTAAAGCAAATAATGCACATCTGCATCCTGTAAATGACAAATTTGCATCGATTCAATAGACAAAGATAAAAATTGTCTATCAAAAAGATGGAAATTTGCCTCTTGCAAGTTGCGAAAATGCATAATGTTCAAGATGTGCCTAAATACTCATATTTCGATTGACAAAAATATCCCTTTACATATAGTGTCTCTGTAAGGCGGGGCAAGTTAGTGCATACGCACCCGGAAACACTTAAATCTTCTGTATGGTCTTTGCATTGAAATGATGAATTGTATGCAGCTATAGTTAGGGATTTAAAAGCCAAAAAACAGGAAAAGTTGCGGATTTAAAAAAAAATAATACCGTGTTTTTTTTGACAAGGTAGATCTTCAAAATTTCAAAATATGAGGAAAAGTCCGACATTTTTTGAGGAGACTTCCTCGAAATCTGAGGAGTTTTTGTCAAACCAGGGAAGCTCCCCAAAGTTTTCCCCTTTTCCTCAAAAAATGAGACATCTTTTTTACCGTGCTCCGGAATGTTTTTTTCTGAAAACTTTAACTTTCCCGGAAAAGCAAAATCTCTGGCTGTAGTTATGCACAAACAGCAAGAAAGTTTTGCAGAACGGGCCAATGTTGATAGTTTTGCCCAAAACATTCAATGGCCGTGAACTGCGATAGACTTGGATGGACATTTTAGTAAAGACTAAAGTAGTGATTTTCTGGGAACTTCGGCCGAAGTTCATAAACTTTGATTTCAGTTGCAGCCCATTTCCTGTTAGGAGCGGGCGCGCCTATTCGCACGAGAGACAGAGAGAGAGAGAGAGAGAGAGAGAGAGAGAGAGAGAGAGAGAGAGAGAGAGGGTGTAAATGTGCTGGCTGGCGACCCTCGTTTCGCTCCACTCCCTTGATGGTGTGTGGAATTAGCGACTTGCATTCCAGCGTCGTTCGCCCGAGGCCACCCCACCCGTCTATCCAACGACCTTAATAGTTTTCCTTTATTTTCTTTGCTGAGAAAACGGAAGAAAATAAAAGGGCAGCAGCAAAAAACATAACTGTACACAAAACACACGTATTACTACTAGTTTTATTTTTCGTTGAGTGAATGATTTGAAACAGCATGTTTCGATTTGAATATTTAATAGAGCTCAACTTATGTATTTTTGAATATTTATAATCATCGACGCGTCCGTGCGTGAATATCCTATTTGTTTTTGCTGCCCGAAAGACTATCCTTTCTGCTTCACTACCCCAAAAGACTAAAATAAATCCTTTTGTAATTTAGGCTAGTCTTTTGGGGAAGTGAAACAGATACGGTAGTCTTTCAGGGCAGCAAAACAAGAAGGATATTGTTGCCCGGGACGCGTCGTTATTCTGAAATGACTGGACTTTCTAGTACTCCTTCCCTTCGTCCGTTAAGACACCATTGCGTAGGCTAAGGATGCCCCAAGAAAGGACAGTATTTTGTGACAGATTGTTTTCCAGGGAGAAATTGTATACCATTTTTGTTGAGACAATCTGTGCGTGCTTTTCCTGGGGGGAAATTGTTTCTTCACAACTAGTTTGAGGACACCAGCGGCACTGTAAATCTGAGGTGGCCGGCAGGTGGGTGACATAAGTAGCCTCAGCCAAGAATTGAAGCGACTAAAGTTGCTAGCTTACTGGATACACCTTCTGAATCCGTACACCGCACCGTAATAAAGTCATCGCTAATCTATTACAGACCTGAAAATCCAGGAATGAGATACGGTCAATGCCAGAAGGTGTCCAGTAAGTAGGCGATTCAAGGCGTGGCGTATCGACTTGGAATTAATCGACACGCATTTGCGACATAACTTGTAAGTAAAAGTTACAACAAAAATGACAACAAACTTTTCGAGGTCATTTTTCACAATTTTTGCAGTGTACATACTACTTTCCAAGCGCTTGTGTTGTAATGAATGACAGCTTTATTCGATGCAGTAAGCAAGTTACATATCACAGATTTTCATACAGACAAATGAAACAATATTGAACTGTAAGCAGAAGCATGTGGAGAAAAAAAAACATGACTCCATCGAATCGTACGTTTACAGCAAGTGTGAGGCAATCATATCACTAAAAACCTTTGAGTAAGGGGTCGTGCTCCAAATAAGTGAGACAATTTTGCCTCGCCCATTCAGGGCGATGACTATCGCGATCAGCCTATTTGAGTCATATGCTCCGCGAATCCTCAATCAGAAGGAGTAAGATTTCCCTGACTTCAGCCAATTTCTAGTGAAACCTCACTGTCATTGGGCGAGGATCGCAAATTAGGACTCAAATTGAGTCAGTCAGATATCTCGCTCTCAGAGGAGCTAATTTTTTGTGTCACTGATCTCGCTTTCTCCTGAGAGCAAAGATATCTGCGTCTAGCATTTTCAGTGCACACTTGCGAGATTATTTATTACCATTTCAACTGGTACAGTAAAGGAACAATCTCAAAGTGTGAGACTTTCTCAAACATGCTGTAACAGTGTTTATACAGACATGACTGTCCCATCGTGCATCTAACGCAATGGCAAGCAGGGTAATGTGAACAATCATCATTTTACAGAACAGCCCTGACGACCAAAGAAAAAAACAGTTGCGTGTTTTGAAATGTAGTAAGAACCAAAGCAGTTTGCATAAATTGCTCCAAAAAATATTTACATCTTTGACTTTAACAAAGTATATCGCCACGGTGGGGCAACAAACTCAAAATACATAACTAAGGAAAGCTTGACGAGTCCTTCTACTGGAAGCAGACCACACTGTATTTCTGGTTTGGAAGCAGAGAGAGGATGCACTCCCTGACCTGCGAGCCGGAGGGCAGGGCATCCTGAAAGACGCGCCAGATCAAAGGCAGGACGTATTACATATCGTCACTGTAAGCGAGTAGTAAGTTCTCTGGCGCACTCACCGCTTGCTCGTCTTGCTCGTCTTGACTCTCCTGCGTGGCCGGCGCAGGTCAGCGCCCAGCTCGCTCTCCTCGAAGCCCTTGCGCTGGATCTGCGCCTTGACGCCGCCAACCGGCATGGCCTGCGAGACCCCGACCCCCGCGGCCAGCAGGCACGGCGCGCCCATCTACGCGGCCCCCCATCTGCCGCACCGCGGCCGCAGCTGTCCCACCGGCAGCTGTCCAGCTGCGCAGCTGCCGGTAGCGCGCGCGGCCGTCGCATGAGGGGAGGGTGGGGACGCCACCGTCGTCATGTCGCCATTTGAGGTGGTGGAGGGCGTTGAGGGGCACGCACAGGTTAGGACCAAAGAGTTACCTAAAGTGCAACTTATCAAATAGATATGGGCCGCAAAGGGATGGGAGGAAAACGACTTAGATTATCCGCAAGACAAGGGGGTTATCCCGGAGTCGTGGTAATCTAAGGTCACTTCTTGGGGCATCCGATTGATCCGGGGTAGTTCCCTAGACTAGTGACCTCACATTCGGCCACGGGTAGTAGAGCAAGACACAACTGTATGCTCTATCTTTCGCTGACCCCAAGAGAAGGCGTGGAACGGCACAGCGGGCGACGCCTTTTGGAGAGGAAAAAAACGGTGGGTCTGGTCGGGCCGGAATACTGATTCGCACTAAACTGTTTCGAATGGACTCACGGTGGTGGTGGGGCGGTGGGCCACCGACGCGCGCCGGGCGAAGGAAATCATGACAGCCACAGCCGTTGTAATTAACAGGCAGTAATCACAACAAATTATTCGTAACTTTGTAAAGGGCTGCGGCGGGGTAACAGGCCGGAGGGGGG